TTGGATATCTAGAAAACAAGGTAAAACATAACCAAATATCGTTTAAAAACGTAAGGTCTTATATTAGTACTAGCCAGCTTAGCTGAATAAATACAGTGACTTCAGTAGCAGCAGGTAAAACCCAGAAAACAAAGCGAAATAAGGATAAAATTTTGCTCAAACGTTTAGAGTATCCCAAGCAACACAAAAAGGGGAAATAAAGCGGACGAAAGCGTAAATAAAGGGAAACGTCGCTCTTTTACTTACATGGGAAACTGTTGAAGTGTTGAGAATGTGTGTTTGAGTTTCAGTGAACTTTTGATTAAATGCACATTTCTTATGAATAAAATATAACCTGTTCTTTCTTTTTCAGATAATTTCAAATAACAATGAATTAGCAATTGCATTGGATATGCATAACAATCCATGCTTAAGCTTGTGCTCTACTGTTGTACAATAATACACTTTTCTTTTTAAATAAAATTTTTAAAATATTTACCGCTTTTCCACTGCATTGCAGATATATTTTGGCCTGTTGTTGAAAATAAAGGCGAACATAGGAGACCTTTGGGGTTCTGTCGATGGATAGAAATAGGAGGTAATGTGTGTATTTAAGCGAAAAGTAGACAATTAAGCGCATAAGTAGGCAATTCGGCGGATATTTAGGTGAAAATGCGACAATTCGGCGGATGTTTAGGTGAAAATTCGCAAATTCAGCGGATATTTAGGCGATAAGTCGGTAATTTGTCAACAAAAAAGCGAAAATCCGCATTATTTCCCCCGAAAAGGCGACATTCTGGCGCGTTTCACCCTTTCACCACCAAAGCATTTACCTTTTTATTTCCTCTTTTTGGGTTGTCTGGGATTACACTAACTTTTGGATTTTAGCACACTGAAACATTAAATTCTGTAGCTACACAAAAGAAATAGCGGAAAAAACACAGAACGAATAAAGCTGGCCGACATTTTATAACACAAGACTAGCCAGATTGCCTGAAGAAATACATTGACTTAAGTAGAAGCAGCAAAAACCCAGAAAACATCGCTGATTCGAAATAAACTTCACACCAACATATAGAACATTACACTAACTGCGGCATTTTAGCACACTGAGACATTAAATTACACAGCTACACAAAACAAATAGCTGGAAGAAGCACAGAACGAAGAAAGCCGACCACCATTGCTTACGAAGATGGCGGATGTAATAATTCCCGCCTCATTCTGATTGGTTGCTAAGCTGAAGGGCACATTTACGAAATTGAGTTGCGTTTAATTCCAGCCCAAGCTGGACATCCTTTTCAATTGCGAAGAATAAAACGCCACATTAATTGTTTGATAGTCTTATTTCAGCATTTTGACGCATAGAAGTAGTAGACTCTAAAGAACTGAAACGAACCCATGAAAAGCGGCAGTCGTGAAAAGTAGTCAAAGAGTCGTCCCAACATTTGAGATTGCAGTTTACTGGTATAACCAGAAATAACCACAAGGTTTGCATATCACGACACCGTGTAAGCCCAACTTTTGCGATGCTGAATTTATTGTTTTACGTTCGAAAGATGAAAATCTGAAATACAGTCAATCCCTACATGATAAAAAATGATGTACGATTTAATCAAGCTCACATGAGCATAATAGGCCAAACATGTGTCGAATAAAAGCAACTACTGATCATTCCAAACATCAACAGCCCCAAAAATGGCAAGATCGATGAAGTAAGACTCAGTACGAAGCACAACATACAAAATATCATGAAGTGACGCCAAAATTGACCCACATCCCACCATCGGTAGACGGATCTGATTGGTTATCAAGGTCACCGGCACAAAAAATGTGATAAATTTCAACTCAACGTGCCCATCTTTTTAACAGCCGAAATCTAATGTCTTCATCGCGAGCGTGAATGAACTGATTAACTCACCCATACTTCTCGTTGTTTCACTGCACTTCCAGGTCTTTGATAATGTGCAGCGGTTGATAGTCTAACAACCCGACTTCACTAATTCTAATCACCCTGGTGGATTTCCATATCTGCAAGCTCGAACGAGCGTGTTTGTCTCTTGTGAGTGGGGTTTCTGTATACCAGTAGCTATCACACTAGGAGACTGGTTGTTTGCAAATGCAAATAGTAGTGAAATGATTGTTTCAAGAAAAACTAATCATTACACTCAATTGATGATATGTAAGAGGATGGAATTTAAAGAGAGGGGAGACGGAGATGAAGCTATCCACTGAAAGAGTTGTGGTTATTTCTGCTGGGATAGAATTCCGATTGTGGCAAATCCTAATGAGGAAAAGTGATAGCGTACCTGAGTTCTTACTCTCCTATATGTGGTTCGGTCGATGTAGATTTATGTGCTTGTGGAAAAGAATGCTATGATTTATAACAATGTCGTTGAAAGCACATAGACCTACCAATCTCTCGAATGTAGCACTCCTTCCTCTCATTATATTTTGGGATGGGATTCCTTCATACCCGGTATCATAGAGTGGTACAATCTATCGTGACAACTGGTTGATTCGTCTCTTCTGGTGACCGGCTAGTTTGAGCAATCCTACTTGAAATAACAGCATAAATTGGTTAGAATAGATTGGAAGTGTATAGAGTAGAACTGTAGTGTTATCGGTTCCTAACCACACGACTCTCGGAGCTGGACATATGATTACTGAAAAGATTGGCACACAACACGTAACGCTTGAAGGAGGTTGCCAGAATTACAAGACCCTCCACCATCAGTTTCTTATATTTAGTCTATATTTGATAGATCGATCCCCTATTTAACTTGCTGATAGTTTTTTAAGCTTGGATAAAATTCTCAGTCAGTCAGCCAGTCAGCTACAACGTAGGACCGGGCACATATATGCATCGGTCCAAGTTGCCATACCTCATTAACACAACAAGATGGACACCGGATTCATAAAGTAGTTCATTCAAAGGTGGTAATATATAAAAGAAAGATTGCAATAAGGATATAGTACACGAAGAAAGAATTAGTTAGTAGAAAGAAAGATATGAAGTGATTTTAATCTCTTAGTTTAAGAGCAGACAGAGAGTGTATACACCGACGCCATTGTGATCGATTCTGAGCCATGTCACCAAGAGTCTCCAACCATTGGTTACGAAAGTCACGCGGACCCCAACCAAGTAGTCTGCATCTCCCAACATGGCTCAGACTAGAAGTTAGTGACTTCAAGCACTGGTGCCACGTTTTGGTTTGGCCGCCCCTAACTTTCTTCCATCCATCTCCAACACCGGCTTGCACTGAGCGCCGTGGTAACCGGTGTTCAAAGTATTAGGCGTTATATTTATGATTTTTACGATAGTGATAGTTCGTGTGGGCAATGACGTGACAGCAACGTAATATGTTACAGATCAAGTTTTCACATAATTGCAAATCTACAATCTTGGCAAATATGGTATTTAATTGACATAAATGCATATTGTATAGCAATGAAAGCAAGACTGGATTTCTACCTGGATCTAATTTTTAATTTTGCTCCTCCACCTAACATTTTGCTCAATTTTTAAACTATAGGCTATCGCCTAATATCTTTTCTTCCGGCCACTGACTGCCTAATTTCCGATTGTTGAGTACCATTGACAAACAGCAAAGAGACAATTTAAGAGGCTTTGGATCAACTAAGTGACAAGGACGACATTCAGTTGTCTGTCGTATGGATTAGAAACAGTTTAGGCTGATAGTTGGTTTGATTGGTTAAACATAAACTGGCTCGCAATAAACTTGGCAATTACGCATTTGGGTAGCCCACTCATGATTTTATAAGAGTTATGATAGCAAAAAGTGTAATAGGGGTTACCATGAAAGAAAATTCGTCGATGTATCCAAACACAGTGTTTTGCTTATTGCAATTTAGAGGCCTGCTTAAGCTTAAACTTTCATTTACTCTGAATTTCCTCCATTCATGTAGTTCCTCGTCAGTTCGTTACCATATTTCTGGTCTAAATACATATGAATGAAGATCGACCTATTGAGGTAAACAATCCTAAGTAGTTGTATCGTAACTGCCCCATCTTATATGACTGAAATTCACCAGTCACTAACATTGTCTGTCCTGCTCCTCGTCGTTTTGTTTTTCCTTCCCTTTCTCGGAAACCTTAACATATACCACCGAAAACATACACAAAACATAACGATTCGTGCTGCGTCTTCAGTAGTGCCTTCGATACTTCAACATTATTTGTAGTCATTTTCTGGAAGCCTGTTAACTTTGTCATCTGGGAACACTATCACGAAGCACAAAATAATGCCTTTAATCTGACGTCTTCAACCCACCGCTTATGCATTTGCCACGTTACTTCTGACTACAAACAGCTCTGAACCTCGTTTGCATTCATTCTCGACTGTCGGATGCCCGTCGCAATCCACATACATAATCATCAGTGTTACCCTCACCATGCCCTTTGTTGTCCTCTCTATCCCCATTCCTTCATTATTTTGCTCATAACCATTAATTATGATTTTTGCATATTTATCATTTATTTATTGAATTGATTTGTTTGTCGCATGTTCGTTTTGAACTTTTTCACTCTTCCAATTCACATCTAACTATTTTCAGCGCTAACAAACAAACCATTTCCTCACTAGGCAGAGGTTACGGATTCTGGCGATCCTTATGATGAGAGACAAGTGTAATCAATCCACCACAATACATACTGTTCCAAACGGCCAAGATATACAAAATACATTAACCAGCAAATAATTGCCAAACTGACTAAAACTATTGCAGTTTAGTGGCTTAACCACTACTAATTGGATGTCGCCAAAGACCTGGAACCGTATCGAAGTAACAACAGGTGAGAGCCAAGAACTCAATCAGGTTCGTACATGCTCGTCACAAGATTTGGATGCAGGAAGTCAAACAGGGTTATTATAATCGAATGATCACTCTGGTCCCTATGGATACCGAAAAAATCAAAACTAATCTCCAAACTCAGGTCACAGATGTAAAAAAGAACATTGGTTTGAACGAACTGGTCACTAAGGTATTGGGCATTGGACATATAGCCTTCTATCATGTTTGAAAAAACCTGGCTACAGGTCAGCAACGTTTGATGTATATTGACTTTGGTGTAAATATTGTAGAATTTAGGCTGTTGCATTCAGTAATAAACTGGCTTACAATTAGAGAAGCTTGGTCAAACAATATGGTTTAAAAATATGGTTCGCGAAAACTAAACATGCAGTAATGGCAACTGTTCCCAATTATTATTATTAGGTAATATTCTTGGGAATTAATAGATGAAACCCGAAATTTCCCAAAACTTCTGGGATTTTTCTCAGGCCTGGGAAAACTTCGGGGAATGGCACAAAAAACCCGAAGTTATCGCATAGTTTTCTATTGCAGTTTCCCCCAAACTTCACCTATGGTAGATAAAAATTTTCCGGAAAATAGGGTGACTGGGTTGTTTTCGTTTACAATCGTATAATGACAAATAAGCGATAGCAAGGAACTAAAAGTAGGACTCTAGCAAGAATTGATATGCACTTCAGCAGCAATGTTTACAGATATCTTTTACATATGCATTGGGAGAAATGGTGAATACTTTCCTATATCTCATTAAAGAAATATCTCTTAATTCACACTTCAATCTCCGCCTAAACTTGCATCAATGTACCAATGCTGATATTCTCTCAAACTACTGTTTAAATATTTGCACATAGATGGTTTATCACGTCAAAATCGAGCTTCCAACCCAGTCAAACTGAGTCGTAAGTTAGTCTCTCTCAGGAGATAGTGTTGAAGTGGGCAACATTTAAGAGGCAACAAGGCTATTCGACGTAAGTTTAGGCAGAGATTGAGATGTGAATTCAGAGTCAAGTTTCCCAATGGAGCACACAAAAAACTCACTTCTAGTGGCAGGTGCAATAGACAGTATATGGGTCAATGGTTGCTGAAATGCATATCGCGTTTTGATAGAAAATATTACCTATATTTCCTCATTGGATTTTACCTAGGTAAACTAAGTGTTCTCTGCTTGTTGTCACGTCTTTCCCCAAGTGACCCTCGTCATTTTCTAATCATTCTTGTTTCGTATTCTACAGTTCTGATTTTTACTGATACAATAAAGGATAGAAAGATTCATTTCCAAAATATGATTATTGAAATAGTAGCAACTCAATCGTAAGCAATGTAGTCTGGCACTAGTGTGGGTTAGCCACATCTCATTAGCACGAGACGAATACTAAAGAGGTCAAAAAGTTAGCTTTTGACAGTCTCTATCCATACAAGTTACCGCTGATCCTAATATTCGGATGATCTTTCATTCCTCTGTTCTCTAACTAGGGAATTCCAAATTAGAATAATCACTTTTGTTTACCACTAATGTACTTGAAAAACATCTGACAATTGTTTACCTATGATTGAAAGTTCACATGACTGCATTATTTTCTGTGGTTTATTAGTATTATTAATTATTCAAACAATTTATTTATTTGAACACAAATATTGCTACACGGGGGCACCAGATATACATGTGCCACACAAAGCAATGAGAATGGGGAGTAAGAAAGAAGGTAAGGTGCGTATAAGAAATAAAAAAAGAACAATAACGACCACAGATTAGTGTATGGTAGTGTAATGATAATAATAATAATGCGAGAAACAGAAAGATACAACCAGAAGAATTCTTTCAGTTAAGGAAGATACAACCACTTTTTATGAAGAAAGTAAAAGAAGGTTACAGCAGGATCGCCACCGACTTCTATTCTGAGCCATATCTGATAACATCTCTAGCCACTGTGTTGCACCATCTCTAGCACCCCAACCATGAAGTCGTGAAGGACCGACAGAAACCAGTCCTTTGCAGCTTTCTTTCATTCCGCGACATCATGTCATACACTGACCACCTTTCTGCTTTTTCCAACCAGTCCGCGCGTCCGCAAATAATGCACGACGTGGAATTCTCTGGGACGACGTTCGTAGGACATGTCCAAGCCACCGAAGTCGATGTTTCGAGATGGTGACACCAATTGAACTATCGTCTCTGCGCCCGAACACACGATGCCGAACCTCTTCATTACTGACATGGTGTCGCCACTGGATGTAAGCAATCCTTCGGAGACAACGATGATCAAACACAGAGAGACGTCTAACATCCTCAACTCGGAGAGGGCAGGTTTCACAAGGATAGTGTAAAACTGCTCTCACCGACGCGTTGTAAATCCGACCTTTTACAGCCAGACTAACGTGACGAAGGCGCCGAAGATGGCCCAGATTGGAATAAGCCGCTCTGGCTTTCACTATACGTGCATTGATCTCATCACTCACGCCACCACCGGCACTTATGCAGCTACCCAGGTACACAAAATTCCCGACTACTTCTACCTGCTCACCACCCAAAGTGAGTACAGGATCAGAATCCTGCCAGTCTTGTAAAAGTACTTTGTACTTCGAAGGTGAAAAGCACATACCGTACATACGGACATTGATTGCCAACTGATTAAGTGCGGATCGCTCGACTGTTGTTACTACCTTGACGTGGTGGTCGGGCTTGCCTATCGTGACGAAGCAACCGAGCTATACTGGCTGAAACAACTGTTCCTTGAGGTCCTACCATGTCAGACAGGTCGGTTGAAGAGCGGTAAGACCATTTCGGCGAGCTGAGGTCGAGTGACTGACCACACTAGGGTCCTGTGTGAGTGTTTCGGAGACAGCATACATCAATAGTACGAGATTCTAGGGTCTTAGTCAAGGAGGTCTGCTGGCCGATTCGACATAGGGTGTGTACGTTGAAGTCTCCAATGTGTAGTTTGGAGAGAGGTTTCAGTAGACCTGGAACAGTGTTTCGCGTACTAGAATCGTTGGCCAGGGTGACACTTGAGGAGGAAGCCAAAAGAGGAATTTTAGGGTTGAAAGTCGAGGTGGGAGGAATAATAGGAATTGAAGAGGGAGGTTGATTATGAATACAGTGGTCTTGAGTACTATTAGAAGTGTGAAAGCGGTTTTTACTTCCCGATTGCTCACAGCGTGGAAGGGTTCTTCTGGACGTACCTGAAGAGGGCAAGAGGTGGTCTTAGTAACCTGAGGACATGACCGCAGTACCCAAGGGACAACTGCCTAAAGCCAGTCACACACGACTTTCTTGTGGGTAATTTTTTTGTTAGCTCCTTGCTTGTTGGACCTCACAGCTGGAGACGGAAATCCGTGGGATAAGGCGAGGTGTGCATTCTTAAGGTCAATCTTTTCTAACCCCATCCTTCCTTGTGAGAAGGCAGCATAGCAAAGTTGGTGGCGTGAGTGATGAAACCAATTCGCGTATAGTAAAAAACAGAGTGGTTTACCCAAATCTGAGCCATGTTTGGAGCCTTCATATTGCTAGTCTGGCTGTAAAAGATCGGATCTATAACGCGTCAGTTAGACGAGTTTTGCTCTGTGCTTGTGAAACCCGGTCTTCCCTGATTGAGGATGTTAGACGACTCTGCGTTTGATCGTTGCCCTTCTGACATTCAAGGGTAGCAACATGTTAGTAATGCCGAGGTTCAGTAACGTGCGTTTTTATACAGTGACGTCAATTCAATCAGTGTCACTATCATGAAACGCCGACTTCGATGGCTCGAACATGCACTATGTCGTTCCAGTGAATTCCACATCGTGCATTATTTGTCAATGCTAGGACTGGTGAGAAATAAAGCTGTACATGACTGGCATCTGTTGGTCCTTCATGACATCCTGATTTTGGTCTTACAGATGGTGCAACATACTGTCTTGAGACGTTATAGGATACGTATGAATATATTTATTTATCCGAATACAACATTGGTACAAGAGGGCATCAAAAACATGCGCCACACAATTACAATGAGGTTGTGAAGAGATAATGTAACGTGCGTATAATAAAACAACAATGAACATAAATTGGTACATGAGTGAGATAATAATAATAACTATTATTATTATTATTATTATTATTATTATCATTATTATTGGAAAAGTAGTTCAGTTAGATGTAATACAACCCGGAAAAATCCTATCAATTGAAAAGTAAAGTTCATTTTTCATGAAGAAAGTAAAAGAAAGTTACAGCAGGATCGCCAATGGCTTTTATTCTGAGCCATATCTGATAACGTCTCAAGCCATTGTCTTACACCATCTCTGGAACCCCAAACAGAACGTCATTAAGGGTTAACAGAACCCGTCCTGTACAGCTTTCCTTCATACCACGACACAATGTCATACACTAACCACCACTCCGCATTTTACAACCAGTCCCAGCATCGGCATTCACAGCACACGTCTAGGCCCCCGAATGCCCTGGTAAGGCCGAGAGTGGGAGGGGCCGGCCCTCCCTTTCGAAATGCCCTCAAAAAGCCACGTGTATACAGACTCTGCCAGGGAAGTCCTACTCACTGCCTTCTCGCAGCGAGGATGTTGTTTACAAAATTGAGAGGACGAAAAGCGAGTGTTCGGAGCTTTAACCAGGCCGGTGGACATGGAGAGTTCACCTAGGGGAGTTGGAAAACCCTGATTCCAAACCAATGGCACACATGGGCTCCAGTATTCTGAAGGAACAAAAGGCGCATGAACCTATTGTTGGTCACCGGCTACCATGAAACTGCATCTCCTAAAGTTGCTCCACTACCTTGTGGACCAGATCTTTATTTCAAAGGCTCTGGATGTGGCACCCTAAGAAAACTACCTGCTTCGGCTTGGGCACCCGGGCAGTATCACAGTCCACACACAAATAAAATGAAAATGACGATATTTACTGAAAATTCTATTCGCTCTTCGATTAACAGTCAAACAATTCACATTATTATTATTATTATTAGAACAACACATATAAGCGAACAATTGTTTTCAATTAGATCGTCATCAGGCTTTACTCTAATATACATGAATATTTATACGAAAGTTTTAAACCAATCAAGGCAATATGAGTCAATAATCACAATGAAATAGAATAAGTCACTACACATAATAGGTAAAAGTACAAGTTGATAGTACGAAGACAGGTGAACTGATAATAGTGAGAATAATAAACTACAATAACAAAGCTCTTATCAATAGTTAATCGTTGGAAATAGAAGGTCAAATAAAC